CTTTTCTTTTCTTTCTGCTGCTAATGTAAATGGTGTTGTGTTTTTCACTTCCGATTCCATTTGTTCATTTCTGGTATATAGGAAAGCAACTGACTTTTGTATATTAATTTTGTATCCTACAACCTTGCTATAATTGCTTACTAGTTCTAGGAGTGTTTTTGTTGATTCATGGGGATTTTCTATATAGGCACTCATGTCATCTGCAAATAGAGACAGTTTTATTTCTTCCTTTCCAATCTGTATACCTTTTATTTCCTTTTCTTGTCTTATTGCCTGTCCTGGCTAGGACACAGTACCGTGTTAAAAAAGAAGTGTGAAAGAGGACATCCTTGTCCTGTTCCTGATCTTAATGAGAAGGTTTCTAGTTTCTCACCATTAAGTATGATGTTAGCTTTAGGGTTTTTGTAGATGTTCTTTATCAAGTTGAGGAAGTTCCCCTCTATTCCTAATTTGCCACGTGTGTGTGTGTGTGTGTGTGTGTGTGTGTGTGTGTGTGTGTGTGTGTAATCACAAATGGCTGTTGGATTTTGTCAAATGCTCTTTCTTCACCTGGCTATGATCATGTGGCTTTTCTTCTCTAGCATGTTGAGGTGATGGACAGCATTAATTGATTTTCAAATGCTGAACCAGGCTTGCTTAGCTGAAATGAATCCCACTTGCTTGTGGTGTATACATTGTTGGATTGGATTTGCTAATATTTCGTTGAGGATGTTTCATCTGTGTTCATGAGAGATACTGGTCTGAAGTCCCTTCTTGTAATATCTTTATCTGGTTTTGGTATTAGACTAATGTTGTCCTCACAGAATGAGTTAGGAAGTGTTTCTTCTGGTTCGATTTTCTGAAAGAGGTTGTAGGGAACTGGTATCGTTTTTTCCTTAGGTGTTTGATGGAATTCACCAGTGAACCCATCTGAACCTGGTGCTTTCTGTACCAGGAACCAGGTGCTTTCTGGAAAGTTATTCATTATCGATTAAAATTCTTTAATAGATATGGGCCTATTCAGATTATTTATTTCTCCTTGTATGGGTTTTGGTACCTTGTATCTTTCAAGGAGTTGGTCAGCTTCGTCTAAGTTCTCAAATTTGTGGGCATAGAATTGTTTATAATATTCCTTTGTTATCTTTAATATTTATGTGATCAGTAGTGAACCTCTCTCTTTCATTTCTGGTTTTAGTAACTTGTACCCTCTCTCTCTTGTTCTTGGTTAGCCTGCTAGAGGCTTGTCAATTTTACTGATCTTTTCAAAGAATCAACTTTTGGTCTCACTGATGTTTCTCTATTATTTTCCTGTTTTTTATTTCATTCATTTCTGTCTGAATTTTTGTTTCATTTCTTCTGTTTGGGTTAGGCTTTCCCAAGGTGAAAGCTTAGATTATTGATTTGAAGTCTTTCTTCTTTCCCAAGTTTATAGCAAGCATTCCATGCTATAAACTTCCCTCTTAGCCCTGCTTTCACTGAATCCCACACATTCTGGTAAGTTGTATTTTCATTTGCATTTACTTTCGTTTCATTTAGGTAATTTTTTTTTTAATTTTTCTTGAGGCTTCTCCTTGACCCACAGGCTGTTTAGAAGTGTGTCGTTTAATCTCCAAATATTTTGTAATTTTCAGTTATTTTTCTGCTATTGATTTCTAGTCTGATTCCATTGTAGGCTGAAGGCATGCTGTGTAGGAGTTCTGTGCCTTTAAATTTGTTAGGGTTTGTGGCTCAGAATGGGGTCTATCTTGGGGAACGTTCCATGTGAGCGTGAGAACAACGTGCATTTTGTTTTGTTTGGTGAAATTGTCTGTGCCTGTCAATTACAGCTAATCGATTAACGGTGTTGTTCAGTTCAGCTTTATCCTTACTATCTGCCTGCTGGATCTGGCCATTACTGAAACAGGAATGTTGAAGTCTCTAACTCTCATAATGAATTTGTCTATTTCTCCTTGAACCTCTATCAGTTTTTGCCTCATTTATTCTGATGCTTCATCGTTAGGCACATACAATTAAGGATTGTTATGTCTTCTTGGAGAACTGACTCCTTGATCATCATATCCTTGGATCCTCTCTTTATCCCTGAGAATACTCCTGGCTCTGAAGTCTTTTCCGTCTGAAATTAATATAGTTACTCCTGCTTTCTTTCTGCATTTCAATATGAAATACTTGAGTGCCCAAGTGTATGATAAAAATTTGCAAAGTGAGTAAGAACACAGACATTTGAATCAAGCAAATCAGAGTAGAAGCCAGGGTAGTCAAGCTGGGTAACTCTGCACAAATGTAATCATTCTGTGCCTCAGTTTCCTTATCTACAAAATAGAGAACTATCCCTTTGGGCTGTTATGTAGATGACAGGAGAGCACTTAGCACATTTCCTGGCATGTAATGTTTAATTAATATAGTCTATTAATACAAGCTGTTGTATTGCTATATAACAGCATAACATAAGCAATTAGTCTATTATTGATACAAGTGACTGGTTATTATTGCATTTTGAGACTTCACTGTCGATTTCTAAGTGCAAGTACTCTTTGTATGAAAGTTGGATGAGGCACTCCAGGAGGATACATTTAAATGTTTATTTATTTATTTTGAGAGAGAGAGAGCGAAAACACACAGGTGCGTCCAGGCAGGGGAAGGGCAGAGAGAGAAGAGAGAATCCCATGCAGGCTCCACAGTGTCAGCACAGAGCCCCATGCGGGGCTTGATCTCACAAACCGTGAGATCATGACCGGAGCCGAAATCAAGAGTTGGACGCTCAACGGACTGAACCACCCACGCGCCCCACGAGAAGATAAATTTAGAAAATAATTGCAAAGTCGCAGGCTGAAGTGGATGTCTCATAGGCAGTGTCCTGAAAAGAGAAGGGCTTCACATATGCCCTGCAGCCACAGTCCAGAGCCCCACGGCCAGGGGCATATGGTATTTCCTTCTGGCCACTGGGCCCTCCTCGGTCTTCTGATCAAAGCGAAATTACAGCAAAGCCTTCTGCCCTCCACTGCCAATTCACAGACACACCGTCTGGGGTCCCTCTCTTTTTGGAAATGTAATCACACCAGGCCTCCTATTAAAAAGTAGATCATTGGGGCACGTGGGTGGCTCGGTGAGTCAAGTGTCCGACTCTGGATCCCAGCTCAGGTCTTGATCTCAGCCATGAGCTCAAGCCCCACAGTGGGCTCCACGCTGGGCATGAAGCCTACTTACAAAAAAAAAAAAAAAAAAAAAGGTAGATCATCTTCGATTGGATAAATTCTGAGTGGCTTTTAAGAAGCAACAGAAATAGCTAATCACATGGGAAAATCTTCATTGCACACCAAGGTTTTCTAAAGGTAGTTATAAAACTAGGTGATGTGCTGTGATCTCAATTTTCTTTCAACTTTTTCACAAGATTGTCAGCACAGACAGAAGACTAGAAGGATGTTCACGGCGCCTGGCTCTGGGGGGATGGGAGCCTAGGTGATTTTAATGCCTTCTTTGTGTTTTTTTTCCAGTTCTCATTTTCTGTAATATTTTTTGAAATGTTATTTTTTTAATGAGTTGAACACAAAATTAATGAACGCCAATCATTAGGAACACCCCCCTCGCCCCCCCCCCATTTAACTCTATGTACTTTATTCCATGAACTTGGTGTTTTCCTTACAGGAAGGTAGACAGTGGTCACTTGCCAAGTGACCTTTCTGGTTTGGGTGTGGGGCCATTTTTGCTTTCTGTCCTGCCGTTCGGGACGACCAAAAGCATACCTATGTGGGGTCAGGGATATAGAAAGTGGCCGATTCCCTGGCCAGACACGTGCTCATCCAGACTCCACAGAGTTCCCTTTGCCTCCGTGCTGCCAGATCCCCAGCCAACAACTTGGGCACCTGCTCTGGGGTCTGGAGTCAGAGAGAAGACATACCCAGCCCCACCAGACACTATCCATGTGACCTTGGCCGGGTCGCTATCTTCCCTGACTCTACCGGTCATCATTTTTAAATGAGGGCTGTGGTGACCAGCCAGCCAGGCGAGGCGCTTAGCACCTTCTGATACCCAGTGCTCAGCAGTAAATGTGAGGGGCCGCTGCTGTTTATTCTTGTTTTCTTGGTTACAGCCACCTTCCTTATGTATTTCAGTCTCCTGACATCGACAACCATCATGCGCTCATTGAATATAATGAGGCCGAGGACAGCTTTGTTCTCCAGGACTTCAATTCCAGAAACGGCACCTTCGTCAACGAGTGCCACATTCAGAATGTGGCCGTGAAGCTGCTACCCGGAGACATCCTGAGATTTGGGTCTGGAGGGCTGACCTACGAACTGGTCATCGAAAACCCATCCTCGGTGAGACTAGACCCCTGTGCGTCCGAAGGGTGGTCCTTGTCCGCCGCGCGCCCCTCGGATTTCACGCCCTGCACACCGGTGACGCTGACCGGCTGGACCCCTGCAAGGTTCACGCCTATCCCAGTGGATCCTGGCGGGGCGTGAGTCCTGGCGCCCTCTTCTGGGCATTTCCTGGAATGACATGTAAATTTTGCACCGTGGCAAACCCAGAACTAAGCGTAGCGTTTTGCTGAAAATGCAAAGCTTGCTCAGGGCAGATGGAAGGCAGGATGCGCTTTTGAAACCTCAGAGATGGATGCTTCTTTTTAGGCAGATCAGCCGTCTGCAGCTTCCTCGCTCTGTGCCCCCGAGCAGGGTTCTTTCTAGGCCTGGGTCTCGGCCAGCACGGCCTGGCATTGATCCGGCTGTAGAGCCCCAAAGTCAGCGTCCGCCCTGAGCAGCCACTCAACGCATAGCAGCTGTTCTTATGCCCCCGATCAGAAATGTCCCCGGGGTCCTGACCCCGAACGTGGCCCCGGTTTAAGCCAAATGTAATACAGAACTTACCCGTTAAACCTCAGTCACAAGGAACGTGCTGTTTACCAGAGAGGTGGGATGGGGGCGGGAGGAGGGGGTTAGCAACCCAGGCTTTGATCAGGATCCCAGCTCTGCCACTTGCATGCTTTTGTGCGCTCTTGAGCGAGCCACCGGACCCCTCAGAACCTCTGTTTCCTCACCTACAGAATGGGGCCAATGGCAGCAATGACCTTGCAGGCTCATCATGAGGGTTGAGATGATTATAATCGTACAACTAGCACAGCGCCCATTCCCGGTGAGCACGGAATGAATCTCTGCCACGCGCGTCCCAGAGAGATGGCACATTTATCTCACCACCCCCAAGAATGCTACGTTGAGTGAGACCCCCAAGGCTTAAAATCCTTTCTGGGACAAGGCCGAGTATAAACAAATTAAATTTAGAGGATCTACACAGAATCCTGGGGTTTTGAGCCCTCAGGCAGCCCTAAATATGCACCCCAGGCAGATCAACAGAATCCCTCAGGCTGCAGGAGCCACGATGTCACATCCATCACCTTTGGCTTTGAAGATGGGGACAGATTTTTCTGCTACTGCACAGCTGCCTTATCCCCCTTAGATCATTAAAGTGTGTTTGCTCATGGACCATACCAGGGTCCTGTGGCAGCACCGAGGAGGGGCTCCTGACCCGGAAGGTGTTGACCTGATCAAGTTTTCAACGTGGGCTCCAAGGACCCCCCAGTACTTCACACCCTGTGGGGAGCAGACCAAGCATGCAGATCCCTGGGCCTCACCCAGGCCCAAGGACTCGTACTTAAGGTTGACAGTTGGGGCGCCTGGGTGGCTCAGTTGGTTAAGTGTCAGCTTCACCTCAGGTCATGATCTCACGGTTCGTGAGTTCGAGCCCCGCGTCGGGCTCTGTGCTGACAGCTCAGAGCCTGGAGCCTGCTTCGCATTCTGTGTCTCCCTCTCTCTCTCTCTGCCCCTCTGCCGCTCATGCTCTGTCTCTCTTTGTCTCTCAAAAATAAATTAAAAAGTTAAAAAAATTTTTTAAAAGATTGACAGATAAAATACAGGATACCCAGCTAAATCTGAACTGCAGATAAACACCAAATAATTGTTTAGTATAAGTATATCCCAAATATTGCAAAAGGCCACTTATGCTTAAAAAAAATTATTTGTTGTTTATCTGAAATTCAGAGTTAATTGGACACACTGTATTTTATTTAGGTTTTTAAAATTTTTTTTAACATTTATTTTTGAGACAGAGAGAGACAGAGCACGAATGGGGGGAGGGTCAGAGAGAGAGGGAGACACAGAATCTGAAACAGGCTCCAGGCTCCGAGCTGTCAGCACAGAGCCCGACGCGGGGCCCGAACTCACGGACCGCGAGACCGTGACCTGAGCCGAAGTCGGATGCTTAACTGACCGAGCCTCCCAGGCACCCCTAGATTTTTTAAATCTATATATTTATGTTAAATCTGGCAACCCTCCCCAGCCTCCCTGGGAACGGGACGTGCACTGGGGAATATGCGTTCTCACAAGCTCCCTGGTGATTCCGACGTGCCCCCAACACAAGGAAAACCTAAATTTGGAACTCCTCCTCTAAAGCATTTACAGATTGTTTCAGGAACCAAGGAAAACAGAGTCTCAAACGCCAAGCCTATAAACCCAAGTCTGTGAAGTGTGAGTCAATGTTTGTCAAACACGTGTGATTGATTATAAGAATGTATTTGGAATGTCCAATAAAATTACAAGTTCCCAGGCCCCCTGCCTGGGAGATTCTCATTCTGTGGCTTGCCAGTAGGGGACAGGGGGACAGATGACATCTGCCTGTTTTCACACAAAGGTATTTATGGAAATGTTATTTATAGGGACACAGAAATTGAAAGCTAGCTATCCATCAAAAGGGGACGTCATTTTAAAAAGTACAAGGAGTTCTTCGTATATGGAAAACTGTGCCGCATTTTTTTTTTAGACACTATTTATTTATTTATTTAAAAAAAATTTTTTTTCAACGTTAATTTATTTTGGGGACAGAGAGAGACAGAGCATGAACGGGGGAGGGGCAGAGAGAGAGGGAGACACAGAATCGGAAACAGGCTCCAGGCTCTGAGCCATCAGCCCAGAGCCTGACGCGGGGCTTGAACTCACGGACCGCGAGATCGTGACCTGGCTGAAGTCGGATGCTTAACCGACTGCGCCACCCAGGCGCCCCGACACTATTTATTTTTGAGAGTGTGCAAGCTGGGGAGGGGCAGAGAGAGGAGAGAGAGGGGATCCCGAGCAGGCTCCGCAAGGTTATATGACCTGAGCCGAAATCGAGAGTGGGGCACTTAACCGACGGAGTCCCCGGGCACCCCTGTGCTGCTTTTTAAAAACCGGCTTTTGGAGATAGACTGACAGGCAAGAAAGCCGCAGGTGTTTAAAGGATGTAACTTGATCGACTTTGACTTACGCGTGTGCCAGACGGACCACCATCAAGGCAGTGAGCAAACTCATCACCCCCAAAGGGTTCCTCGTGACCACGTTTGCTTGCCTGCTTTTAACAGCTTCCTCGAATGTAATTTGCACCACACACACCTCACCCGTTTGTACGTGTGCCGTTCGGTGTTTGCACGTTTATGGGGTTCCGTAGCCGTCACTGCCACCCGCTTCCAGAACCTTTCTATCCATTTCTATCACCCTCCCCCAAACCTTGGCGGCACTTCGTTATTTTTGTTCATTTTTCATTTTTAGATTTTAAAATGGTGGCAAAATACCGAAAACATTTACCGTCTGAACCTCTTGTGAGCATATAGTTCCGTCACTGCGCTCACACTGCTGTGCAGCCATCTCCGGAACGTTCTTCCTCTTCCCAATCCGAAACCCTGTGCCCATTACATGAAAGCTCCCTCCCTCTTCCCTGCTCCCCCAGCCGCCACTCTTTCTGTCTCTATGAACTTGACCGCTCCGGGCCCCTCATAGAAGTGGAATCTCACAGTGTTTGTCCATTGGTGACCATCTCCCTTTGCTTACAGAGTGTAATGTCCTCACAGTCCGTCCGTGTTGTAGCAAGTGTCAGAACTCTCCTCTTTTTTTTTTTTTAATTTTTTCATGTTTATTTATTTTTGAGAGAGAGAGAGAGAATGGGGGAGGGGCAGAGAGAGGGAGACACAGAATCTGAAGCAGGCTCCAGGCTCTGAGCCGTCAGCACAGAGCCCGACGCGAGGCTTGCACCCACGAACCGTCAAGATCGTGACCTGAGCCGAAGTTGGACCCTTAACCGACTGAGCCACACAGGTGCCCTGCATTGTTAACATTTTCTCCAGAAGCTTCTTCAGTGTGGACAGTTGACAACACAAAACAGATCAAGCTCTGATTTACAGTGTTTGCTATTTCTGTGGTGTAAATACTCCCACCATGGCCAATCTCAAGAGACCAGGGAAACATCACTGAGTACAGAGATACAGGGAGACGTGAGGTAGCACGCACATGTAGGGTTAAATCACCTCAAGAGCATGGAGAGGGGTAAAATAATGTAATATAATTCAGAAGGGTGAGTGTTAACTATGTTACTTTTGTTTCTACTATCGTTTAATTGTAAGTTCATATAATTTAATTTTTATTAATGGCTTCTTATCAACCAGCTCACAAAATTCCTGGGCATTTAATACCTGGCTCTCATGGGGGCACCAGGGTGGCTCAGTTAGTTAAGCATCCAATGTCGGCTCAGGACATGATCTCACGGTCCGTGAGTTCGAGCCCCGTGTCGGGCTCTGTGCTGACAGCCCAGAGCCTGGAGCCTTGGAATCCCGATTCCAAGCAGCACGTGCAACATCTTGTGGTTTTCACACAGTCTCTTTCTTCCTTCCTTTTTTGGAACTTAGAAAATTTCCTATTCCCTGTTAACCGATCATCTAAGACCCTTCTGTGAGTATGGAAAGCAGTTATAAAAAAAATCATGACTTCAAACAAGCTCGAAGCTCTAAGAGCCCGGGTGTTAGAGTCAAACAGCATCACCGCTTCCCGGCTGGGGGACCTTGGGCGAGTCACTTACCCCCTCTGAGCTTCAGTTTCTTAATCCACAACATGGGGGCAAAAATGCCTCCCCCACCTCTGGGACTGTTCTGGCAATTAGATGAGAGCACAACACAGTCTCTGGCACCCGGGTGCCTTCCTGACGTGGTGGCTCATCGCCGGAGAAATATCGGCAATTACAAACAGCAGAGCACGTGACAGGCTCTCCAAGGGCAAAGTCGGCTTCACCGTCTGCCCAGCCTCCGGGGCGTCCTGGCAGCGTGTGTGGGTCTTGGAGGCACCCAATATGCAAACTCCCTTGGTTATTTTAGGGTGTCCCACTGAACCTGCACCCCTTACAGGGCTAGAAGCACACACTGGAAAGATAACATAAAGAACAAGTAGATAATCTGAAAAATTGGGTTATGTTTTCTTGAGTAAATTATTGACGGGTGTTTGTTCAAGCTGATACAAACTCAGTAGCGGGTGTGGCCTGGCTAATCCAGGTGGTTGACAACCTGCTATTTTAAAGACAGTGTGGAAGAAATCAGGAGTGTAACATATGCTCCCTCAAAAACAACAAAAAACATGCCACATCCCATATGGTCAGAGAAAAGGGAAAAGGGAAAGAAAAAAGGCATTAGCGTGTATTTTTAAGCTCACGTTTCTAAAAACAGACTTGTTGATAACTGACCTTGACCCCAAGCTCCGGGTACATTCTAATGTGAGCACAGCCCAGAACTAGCTTTTAACGTGAGTCCTTTTCTTATGTTTGCTTTACCCCTGCCTGTTTCCTTATGTACTGGCAGCGATTTCTGAGAAAACCTTGACCTTGCTTATTATAGAGCAAGCATGCAAACCAGAGAAAATCAACTTTTACCTTCCAACTAAAGCCACCCTCAACCAACAAGCTTGAGAAAGAAAACAAAAAGCCTTATAGTTTTATTTTTAATTTTATTTTTGAATCCGAAAAGCCAAATGGAGCCTTTCGTGCACGTATATGTCCCTGGCTCCTTCCCCCTTAGGGACCCTATCATTATGGCTCTGGGCTGCAAGTGACAGAATCCAGCTCTAGGCGGCCTCACCGGGGCTGAGCAGCTCAGGGTACCGCCCCGGCCAGGGCTCAAAGCCAGCTCCCCACGTGCAACTCCACGTTCACAGCAGCCATCATCACTGTAGCCAGTGACGATGGGAACCCAAGTGCCCCAAAATGGCTAAACAAAATGGGGTGAATTCTGACACCTGCTACAACGCGCGTGAACCTTGAGGACACAATGCTCGGTGAAATCAGCCAGTCGCCCAAAGACAAAGGCGGTACAGTTCCACTTGCCCGAGGTCCCTAGAGGAGTCAAATTCACAGAGACAGAAAGCGGAATGGTGGGTGCCAGGGGCTGGGGGAGGGGGAAGGGGGTGGTGGTGTTTAATGGGAACAGAGTTTCCGTTCTGTAAGATGGAAACCTTCTGAAGATGTGTCTCCCAGCAACGTGAGTGTCCTTGGCACTGCCGACCTGTACGCTTAAAAACGGTTAAGATGCAAATGTGGCGTTACGTGTGATTTACCACGATTAAAGCAACAGCGGCTTCTAGCTCTCCAGGCCTCGGCCCCGCTCCCTCAGGCAGGCTACATTGTCCAGTCCGCAGACCACTCCAGACCCTGGTGTCCGGCCACGGGCTCCCTGGGTCCCTTTGGCTCTGATTGGATCACATGCCTCACCGCTGAGCCAATCACTGAGGCCGGGGAATGTGATTGGCTGAGTGCTTAGCCCCACCCACAAGTCGCTCAGCGATTGGGCGGGAGATTCCCCAGACGCTCCAAAAGACCTGAGTGGGGTCTGGGCTGCCCCCCTGGGGAAGTGGATGGTATTGGACGTGCCGGACGGGCCCACTCCCGCTGGCACCCTTGCCGTTAGTTAGCGATGAGCGTATGACCTGAGGATCCCAGCACAAAAGGGGAGTTCTTCCACGCCTCCCAGCAACCTCCAGATTTGTTTTCTAGCAGGCTGGGGTAAAGCACGTTAGAATTTACCCCTTCTCACCTTTGGCCCATGGGCCAGTGAATATTTATTTAACTGGTGGGAAAAGGTTATAGGAATAATTGAGGCAAGACAGACCCTCCGAGGTGGGGAGGAGACAGGATGGATGGGGAACTTAGTGCAGGGCAGGAGCGGGACACCCTGGCCCTGGGGAATAACGAAAGGAAGAAAGCACAGGTGGAGAGGCTGAGATGTTGACACTGGGGAGAAATTGGGAAAGTGCGCGGAAGAAACAGAGCCCTGGAACACTGCCAAGTCCGTTCCTGAAGCAGGTTTAAAGTGGGCCAGTGTCATTATGAATGATGGGCCAGATGTCCCCAGGCAGTTGGAGCTCGGAGCTTGATATCCCTGAACGCTGTCCTCACGGACTCCAAGACCAAGTCTTCAGAGAGAACGCACAGGATCTTTGACTTGCTGGGGAACGTCTAGGGCCTGAATGAATGGAGAGTCTTCCTCTTAAATCTAACTGAAGCTGTAGGAAGTTCTATGAGTAGGTGCTCGTATTTGGAAGTGTCTCTCTCTCACTATGTGTCTCTGAGTTCATATTCTCTCCCGTCTACAGGAGACACATGAGCCCCAGGCAGGGGGGAATAGATGCGTGGCCCTACATAGTGGCAACATTTGAACTCAGTGTGTTTTTTTCTGCCAAGAGAATTGCAGTGGGGGAGGTGAGACAGAGGCGGGGGTCATCAGACCTCCTCCCCAATCCCCTCCCCACCACTACCCGAGCCTGGGTAAATTCATTAAGCTCACCATGCCTCGTTGGTAATATAGGAGTCGTTTTGTAATATAGGAGTTCTGCTCGGCAGGACTATCGTGAGAAATAGATAAGGAAGGAACAATAAGTGATAGCACACCCCAATGTTACGGTTGAACCACTAGGCCCAGGGAGAAACCACCACGGAAGCGTTAAACCCAGGCAGAAGCCAGGTGTCAGCATCCCTCAGCAGGTGTCTGTCCACGATTAGACGGGGTTGGGTGTGCTTCCCATATAAAGTAGCCGCAGGCCTCTTCCAAGGGTCAGATGATGAAACAATCCCTCGGTGGACGTTTATGGAGCACTTGCCAAGAGTCGGGTGTGGTACATGTTGAGGATCGAAGGTTAACGAGACAGGCGAGGTCCCTGCCGTCCCAGAGCTCTTGGCTTCAGAGGGGCAGATGGCATTAGAAGTGCCCAACAGATGCAGAGTGTGGATGGAAGGAAAGCAGGCTGGGGGTCCTGAAGAGCCCGGTGTGAATCTCAGGGATGTGTTCATTCATTCTTTCAACCAGTATTGGAGGGCCTGCTCTGTATGTGCCAGGCATTATTCTAGGTGCTGGGGACACAGGGGTGAGCAAGATAGACAGAAAGCCCCTATCCTCTTGGAGGTGACGTTCTACCAGCTCAGAGGCTCACCAGCAAATCTAGGATCTTGGAAAGTCACAAGGTCTCGCTCAGCCTCAGTCTCATGACAGAGTGTTGGGTGTATCAAACAGGGTGATGCCTGTGACCCTCTCGGCCGCATGAAGGCTGTCCCCAGGAACTGGTGGTGTGATGGTGCAATGTGACCCACGGTGGGGCCCGCCATCCCAAACTTGGGGATGGTCTGGCGGGGGATGGGGGGGGGGGCTTCCTTGGGGAAGTGACTTAGAAGCTGAGCCCTAGGGCAGCAATTATATGGCTGGGACAAAGGTGGAGACCACCCCCAGCTGATCGGACCCTCCTCCGACTCTCTCCTCTGCCCCTGCAGGTACCTTGGCCAAGACCCCAGCCACCTGCGGCCACACAGCAGTCGCAACAGTCCCCCCCACCTCTGCAGATGCCCTTCCCCCTGGGGATCCGGCCCACACCAGTGCAGAGGAGCTGGTCCCAGGGGGTTCCCAGGCCCACCATGGTCCCTCCTGCCTGTCACAAGCGGCCCATGAGCGCCGGAGGGAAGATGTTCTCCTTTGTGATGGATGGCGTCTACAGGCCTCCCATCATCAAGCAAGGTATTCGCTCGCACTTCCAGTGGTGGTTTGGGGGATGGCCTTATAGCCACGCGGGTGGGTCTTGGTTTTTGCTTATTTTTTCCGATTCTGAAAGTAGAACATAGTCAATTATGAAAAACTCGGGGATAAACAGAAAGTAAGAAAACAGTTAAAGATCCTTTGTCACCCTCACCACCCAGCACCCCCTGTTGACTTTCTGGGGCCTGACCCTCCAGACTTTGTGCTCTGCACAAATGCACACATCGGTACCCCCGTGGCGAGCGTGCGGGCGTGGGTGTGTGTCAGTCTGTGTGTGTGTGTGTGTGTGTGTGTGTGTATCTGAATACATAGCAGGCTGTAAACTTACAACTTTGACTCAGATGTGCAGAAACATGGGCAGCCGAAATGATGCCCCTCACCCACAACAGCCTTAGGAGCTTTTAAATATTTTATTACCATTTCACAGATGACAGGAGGCTGAGGCTCATTGAGGAAAATTACATCCCAGACGTGACATATTCAATCTAGTCTGATCTAACATTTTTCAGTCTGATTTAAGGCTAGTTATCTCGGTGACTATCATTCACAGCCTGGTCGCTTTGGGGACCAATCTTCACAGTTTCCTTCCCTCACCCTCTTCCCCTGAAGGCTTCATGACATTTGGGGAGGGGACTTCCTATCTGTCACTATCCTCTTGGCCTCTCCGGCAGAGTAGCCAGCTTGACTTGACTTAGTCCTTGGCATGACCCCGGTTTCCTCCATGCCTGTGATGTGAAGATCGCATTCTCTGTCCTCTGGGTCCCCAGGTCTCTCTGTGGCTCCACACCCTCGCCTGGTGTCACTCAAGACCATTCACCTGATCACCTCCCTCAGCCATTCAAATAATAGTTATTGTTGTGAAATATACCAACTGAGGAGTAAATGAAATGCAGTTATATTCACCACTGTCATCAGCATTATCATCATCAAATGAACCCTTGTGGACCATCAACATCAAATGAAGTTGAGAAATTACTCAGCCATTTCCCCCTTTCATTTTCATATGAAAATTTTCAAACATACTGCAAAGTAAAAAGAATTTTACAGAGACCCTCCCACCTAATTCCACCATTAACATTTTGCCATACTCTCTACTGCATATCTGTCTATCCATCCCTCTATTCATTCATTAATCCATCTTTCATGCATTTCAAAATAAATTTCACACATCTGTAGCCTTCTTCCTAAATATTTTAGTATATACACCATTAATCAGAATTCAACAGTTTTTGTCTTTTTGATGTAAAATTAACATGCGGTGTATATGTTGTCAATTGCTGCATGACAAATTCTCCCAAAACTTAATGGCCCAAGGGGCTGCCTGGGTGGTTCAATTGGTTAAGCCTCTGATTCTTGATTTCGGCTCAGGTCATGACCTCACAGTCGTGAGATCGAGCCCCATGTTGGGCTCTACGTGGAGCGTGGAGCCTGCTTAAGATTCTCTCCCTCCCTCTCCCCCTACCCCTCCCCTGCTTGCACACATGCTCTCTCGCTCTCTCTCAAAAAAACAAAAAAAAAAAAAAAACAGAAACAAAACACTCTAGTGGCCTAAAGCAAAAGAAAACAAAACAAAACAAACCCAAACTAAAACAAAAGCAAAAAACCCAAACGTGGGTTTTTTATCTGATACTCTTTTTGTGGGTCAGGAATTTGGGAGCAGCTTAGCAGGGTGACTGTAGCTCAGGGTCTCTCATAAGACTGCAGGTAAGCTGTCAGCCAGGACTGCAATCATCTGAAGGTTTGACTGGGGCTGGAGAATCTGCTTCCAGGATAGCGCACTCACATAGCTATTGGCAGGAGGCCCCAGTTCCTCACCACATGGACCTATCCAGAGAACTGCTGGAATGTCCTCCTGAAATGGCAGTTGGCTCTTCCTGAAAAGGTGGCCCAAGAGAGCAAGATGGAAACCACAACATCTCTTAGGACCAAGCCTCAGAAGCCGCTATGTCATTTTTGCAATACCCTACTGGTTACACAGGTCAGCTCTATCTAGTGTGGATACGACTCCCCATGGGCCTGAATACCAGGAGGTGAGAACTCCTGGCAGCCCTGTCTTGGAGACTGGCTACCACAGTCTGTCCTCTGGTCCTCAATGATTCACCACCTCTCACTTGCACAACTCCCTCACCCTCTCCCAAGCGCCTCCCCCCCCCCCCCCACCAGGGTCTCATCCCATTCCAGCATCAGTCTAAATTCCAGAAGCTCATCATCTAAATCAAGTCCAGGTACAGGTGGAGCTCACTGGGTGTAGTTTCTTAAGCTCAGGTTCTTACATACCATTCCCAGCAATCTGAAGACTGTGAACTGAAGACATGGGTTGTCTGTCCCTCATGCACCCAACATAGTCTGGTGGGACGGAGTTTATGGACATGCCTTCTTTTCAAAAGGGGAAGAACAAGAAACACACAGGAGTCTTTGGCCCAAAGCAGTTCTGAAATCCAGCCAGGAAAATGTTGGAAGTTCCTTTATTAGGACTTAGACCTATTCTTGCCCAGAAATGACCCTTCATGGCTCTTGCCTCTGCCCTCTGGTTCCTTGGTTCGGCCCTCTGAGTCCTCCTACCTTTTCCATGAGAGGTATCACATTTGCAGCTGTGCAATTTTATAGTCTGCTACCTGCCTATAGACGCGTGGGGGTCATAGGCTTCTCTTGCTTTTGTGGGTCTCCATCTCCGACAGTCCACACTGGTAGTGTTCCTTCTTGGGGTTCACCCTAGTAGGCAAAAGCCTTCTCGACACAAACCCTCCTCTGCCTTGGGCTTCCGAGAATGGGAGGGACAGCCCTTCTTAGAAGCCCTGTGTTTTGCCCGAATCATTCCCTGACACGCCAGCTTGGATCTTTCTGCTTTCTTGACAAAGGATATTACAGTCTTCCACTCAGCTTCATCTTTGGAGCATGCTTTCCTGAGAGTGCCCTTGATTTGGTCTTTGCCCAACCGACATCTTACATTTCATTTGCCCTCTGGAGAGGGAGGGAATTTTCAAGTCCTATCAAGTCCCAGCTCCTTGTGGTTCAACAGTCCCCCTGTTGGCCTCTCTCCCCTCCTGCAGTTCATGGTAAGTGCCAGGAAGAGGGCAGGTGGCACCTTCCAGCACTCTGCCTGGGCTCCATCGCCCAGTTCATTAGGAACATCTTCTACTTTCCGCATCACCACAGGCAATGTGTTCTAAAACTTCTTATAAGGGATCCTTATAAGAAGAGAGAGAGAGAGAGAGAGAGAGAGACACCAGGGATGCCTGCACATGGAGGAAAGGCCATGTGAAGACACAGAATGAAGGTAGCCATCTACAAGACAAGAAGAGAGGCCTCAGGAGAAACCAACCCTGATGCCACCTTGATCTTGGACTTCAGCCTCCAGACTATGAGAAATATAATTCCACTGTTTAAGCTGCCCAGTATGTGCTATTTTGTTATGGCAGCTGAGCTGATGATTGCAAAGTCCATCCACTATTGGAGAGGACAATCCAAAGATGTGAATACCAGGAGATAAGAACCATTGGCGCCATCTTGGAGGCTGGCCACCACACAACGAAAAGCACCCAGTCCAAATCCTAAAGACACCCACACGCTGATAATTAAGGCACCCACATGCTGTCCCTGGTGAGGACTGATAATTACCTGATAAGCACCAGGAGAGCCAGATGGCTGTGAAAATATTGAAGCAACGTCTCTCCCATTTGGCAAATAGCCACCGCTTAAAACTTCTTAAAGTGTCTCTGTCCCCCATCCCTGCCATCCCACTGTCCCAGCCATCACATCCCTCCTTTGGGGTTCTCCCCACTGGGACCTCCAAATGATCCAGCAACTAGAGGGTTTGTTTTGAACTGAGTTAAGCCAGTTGGGTCGTACATGGCCCTTGCGGTCTCTCCTTGATAGGTATTAGGAGCCAGTAAAGACATTTGAGACGGGTGACAGGAAACCACTCCAGCACCTCCCTGCCTGGGTGCAAGGAAAGCAAGTCTCAGATAAATTCTACCCCGTGCAGACTTCCAGTAAACATAGCAAAGGGATGTCAAACATCATTCAGCCTATTCCGTAGGTTTGATGAAGTCTGGACTCTGTCCTTTAAGGGCTCCGACCATCACCTAGTAGAAAAGTTCATTCAAGTCCGCCATGACAGGGGCACAGAGGCATCTGAGTTACTCCCAGAGATGGCATTAGACAGCAGAGATCTAAACCAGGACTGGACACGGGACCCTCCCTGAGTGGGGGCACAAGCAGGGCTCCCCAGTACTTCAGCTGACCGGCAGGCATACCTTCCTGCTTTTGCCCTTTGGGAGCCTGTTTCTAACATAAAGCATACAAGGGTAATAGGCCACCCTTTTTACCAACTAAAAACCTATTTCTGGCCTCTGGTTTGCTAATCAGGAAAGCCTCCGGTGTCGCCTGCCTCTGGACTGTGGCCTGTGCAGTGTAATGCTGCCCGGCCACCCCAAGCGTGGGGACTCCTGATTGGGGCGACTGACTGCCCCTAGGTTGAAAAGTAAACAACTTGCACATATATAGCATCAAACAGGGAGTCTGCTGAATATTGAAAAACTAAGCCACAGGCCTTGTGACCATCAGTAATGTGACACAGGGGCCTCCAGAATCCAGCTGGATGTTATACTCAAAGCCTCTGCCGTAGAATTAGTGTGTGCGTGTGTGTGTGTGTGTGTGTGTGTGTGTGTGTGTATCTCGCTTCTCCTGTATTCCTTTAAAAAAAAAAAACAACCCAGTTATAGATGTTGGCAGGAAAGGAGAGATCAAGTGAAGAAGGAGAACAAAAGGGAGAATGTTCCAGTCAAGTGCTTTCAGATGTGATAGCCACCAGCCACACGTGGATTGAGCTAACGTGGCTAATGTGACTGAGGAACTATATGTTTAATTTCCACTAATTTAAATTTCAAAACCGACACCTGATTCCATTTTTGGAAGGTTTTAAGTACGCCTGGAACATCTTGAGTATGCAAATCTGCTTCAACTGCAAGTTTTTGTGAAGCCCAAATACAGATCAAGTCTTCCCATTGAAAATTTAGCTTCCAAGTTAAGATGCACTGGATTTCAAAGACATAGTGCCCCAAAGAAAGAGTGTAAATGTCTCTATCTTTTTGGTCTTGATTATGTGTTGAAACGATAGTGGGTTTTTTTCTAACGTATGGGGTTAAATCTGTTATCAAAATTAATTTCATCGTTTTACCCTTTTAATGGAATTAATACCAGAAAATTTTAAACTGCCTTATATGTATAGCTCGCATTATTTTTCTATCAGACAGCATTGCACTAGACAGTTAAGTTAGGATCCAACGGCTCAGGGCCCAAGAGGGTGGGGATCGGGGGAGTGAGCTTTGAACACAAATTTTCTTTTTTTTTTTTTTTTCAACGTTTATTTTATTTTATTTTTGGGACAGAGAGAGACAGAGCATGAACGGGGGAGGGGCAGAGAGAGAGGGAGACACAGAATCGGAAACAGGCTCCAGGCTCTGAGCCATCAGCCCAAAGCCCGACGCGGGGCTCGAACTCACGGACCGCGAGATCGTGACCTGGCTGAAGTCGGATGCTTAACCGACTGCGCCACCCAGGCGCCCCGAACACAAATTTTCTAATCATGAACTTGGTTGGGGGATGTTGGGGGGCGGAGAACAGGCAGCTGCTGGAACCAGCGAGCGGCGTTCCCTCCCAAGCCCTTCTCTTGCCCCTTATTGTGTTGGGCACGCGCCCCTCCCCCAGCCCTTCGCGGCAGGGCCTCGCGGAATTCCGCAGGGAGGAAGCCGGAAGTGCTTGACCGAGACAAGGAGCCGCCATCTTGGTGCTTTGGGCCCTGGGCGCGGCGCCTGCGCCCCCCCCCGCGCGGAATGCTAAAGGAACGTGGGAGGCACGTTCCCGGGAGTGGTGTGAGCCCAGAGCACCCAGCAGGGCCCCCTCCCTGTCCACAGAGCGGCAGGCCCCCACCATGGTGACAGGAAACCAAGTAAGTGGGTGGGGAGCTTGCTCTTCTCGACTGTTTCTTGGGAGACCAACTCGTCCCGGTTCGTCTGGGTCTTTCCCGGCCTTGGTGCTGAAAGTCCCGCCGTCCCAGGAAGCCCCGCAGCCCCTGGCCAACCAGGGCAGCTGGTCTCTTTACCGGTTTCATCAGGCAGCTGCTGAACCTCCGTCTTGTGACTCCTCCAATCCAGTCCTTGGCAATCACTTGCCAAGGAGACTCCGTGCGGAACGGCTCCTCGTTGACGGGGTCTGTCACGGTGAACCAGCTCCCAGACTCCTCGTTCACGGCCTCGTTCCCACGTTCGCCACTCCGCAGTGTGTGCTGGTCCTGGAACCAGACCGGCGGGGTCGGACCCGACTGCCCCTTGGCCGGATGCGTGGCCTCAGTCTCTCTGCACCTGGGCTTCTCAACGGGGGGGGGGGGGGGCCGAAGCAGCACCTGCCTCACTGCGTTTTTGTGAGCTCTAGCGTTTTCGTAGGGAAAGCACTGGTGCCACAGAAGGCAACAAGCCTGCTATGAGTTCTTGGGTATGAGCGGGCCGGGCCCTGAGCTTTTGTTACTCTGCAACGCCTTCCCGGTCCGTAATTGAGACAGGTGCGGGTTGGCACGGGAGCTCGGCCTCCTTCAAGCCCTGTGAGCTTGGGCAGACGATTTCCCTCTCTGTGCCCGTTTACACATCTGTCAGATGGCAGCAGTAAGTTCATCTCCAGGGGCACAGACTGAGACACGGTCCCCAACCTCACGGAACTTACCATTCAGTCGGGGAGACGGACGTTAGCGAGAGGATCACAGAGCAACGTCTATCAAACGGTAACCGCGACAACACCCGACAGCCGAGGTGCCCGGTACCCTGTGAGCTCATAACTACAAGGACCCGACTTAGTTGGGGGATCGGGAGGGTATCCCCGGAAGGGTAGGCGACCTTTACCCCGAAGTGCAAAGGCGAGGGAACAGCATTCCAGGTGGAAGGTGAGTGCCGAGGCTGGAGTGCAAGGAGTCGGTCGGCGTGGCTGAAGAGTGAGCTCCCAGAGGAGGAACGTGGGGACCCTGTAAAAAGAGCACGGGGAGCGATGGCCGGTGTTACCCCGGGACGGGACGTGACCCAAGGTCCAGCTACACCAGGAGGCGTCTGACTTCGGATAGGTTTGCCTCCACAGGGAGACCAACTTGGGCACAAGTCAGAAGGCTTTTGCTCCTTCCCTCTTGGAAGAGTTTTGCTTGGCCAATTTGTTTTGTTGCCTATAAGGAACAGAGAAGAAATCCAGCCCGCCCCAAGGTAGAACGAGGACATCGCTGGGATCCCAGCCCGTTCTGGTGCAGGAGCCCAGGCCCCTCTCCTTCTGCGCGGCGAGGGATACTGTGGCCGCAGCCGCTCATCCAACGCACAAGGCCATGTGCTCCTCCGGGCCTTTGACTATGTCCACTCGTGCTTCTGGAGTCCACAGACACGTTCAAGACCTGGGTGGGGCAGAAAATCACTGGCCCTGAAATGCATGAATACAAAATGCAGAATCAAAGCGGATGGATGATTAAATAAAATGCCCACAAACGTGACGGTGTGTACTTCCTTCATTGTCAATGTTAACATTCATTAACGTTTCGTGACCTTTGGAAACAATTGGTTCAATTTCTCACCTCACGAGAAGCCAAGAATGTGCGGCGATTGCCCAGAAGTCAGTCAGGTGGAGATTTAAACCACCACTTAAAGCCAAATGATCTCAAAAGCAGAAATCCAGAAGTCTTTTCAAAAGTTTCTACGCTGAAAAAAAAATTTAATCGGTGTTCGTGTGAGTGGATTGTGTGCAGAGTGGGACCTCCACACATGATGATGCCAGGACTCCAGAAAGTCATGAAAAACCCTTGTCATATTGGGGGGCGGGGGATAAGGAAAAATCAGGAAAACCTAAACATCTGTAAAATGGATCCTGGTTAAATAAATATGTTTGGCACACTTGTATAATGGACTACAATGCCACCCTTAAAAAGAACAGAGTATAGGAGTGCCTGAGTGGCTCAGGCAGTTGAGCATCTGACTTTGGCTCGGGTCACGATCTCATGGGTTGTGAGTTCAAGCCCCAACTCGGGCTGGCTGTTGTCAGTGGGAGCCAGCTTCGGGTCCGCTGTCCCCCTCTCTCTCTCTGCGCCTCCCTTGCTGGCTCGCTCTCTCTCTCTCTCTCTCTCTCTCTCTCAAAATAAATAAATAAATAAATAAACATTTAAAAATGTAATTTAAAAAACACAGTATAAGGGAATTAAAAGGCACAAACTCCTAGTTCTATTAAAAAAAAGAAAAAGGAATGTGTCATAGCTATAGATAGTGACGTGGGAAGATGTTTTCGTTCATTGTAAGGTGAAAAAATGAGCCAGATAAAAATCTCTGCAGTAGAAACCCATTCTTTTAAAGACATAATTCCAATAAAACATAGCTGACATTTAGTGCTGAATGTTAAGGTAATGCTCCGGGGTAGGAAACTTTCTCTGTAAAGAGAAACTTTTTCTGTTAATATTTGAGACTTTGTGGGCTCAATGGTTTCTGTCACAGCTACTCCACTCTATAAGTGAATGACCGTAGCTGTTGTTTCAATAAAACTTTATTTACAAAAACAGCTGGGCGGCCAGGTTGTCCCTAGGTCCGCGGTTTGCCAGCCCCTGCGGTACATCATTACTTCATTGAATCCTCAAAGTGCTCTTTATAACAGAGACTAACATGTAAGTGATATAACCAAGGCTTGGCGAGAATAAATGGCCTGCCCAAGGTCATCAGCTCTTACGTGGCTTAGCAGAAAGCCTAGGAAGAGACACACCAAAGCCAGCTGGCCTGGTTAACACCGCGACCTGGGATGAGGCAGCTCTTTCCCTTTCTCATACTCCTGTCGTGCGTGTTCGCCATTGCTCAGTGAGCGTATACATCGCTTTGTAATTTTCTAGTAACGGGGGAGAAGACTGTGAGGTTAGTCTGAAAATAGCCTTCCAGACCTTAGGGACCCTCACCGTGTTAAGGTAACGCTCTCTGTTGATCTTGTGTGTTAGTGTGGACCAACACTGTGGAACTGTCAGAACCGTCAGTGGCCGAAGGGATTCCCGAGGCAGGACCTTCCGGGGAGATTTATGCGGACCAGGACTCAGACCAGCAGGATAAGGTGAGGGGTCCTGTGCACCTGACGTTCAGCTAGCTCATGAGTCTTCACCGTCTTCGAAAGAGACGGATGGGGGAGCTGAAGCTCAGAGAGGTTCAGTCACTTGCCCAAGGTCACGCCGTGTGAGGGGCAGAGCTGGCATCCAACCCTAGGTCGGGTTAACTTGGAAGCTGGTACTGCTGACTCCCACACGGTAGCTGCTTGGTCAGCCACGGGTGGTGGGACACGGGTGGGAGCACACATCTCCTGGCAGGAAGGTGTGAGCACTGATGCCGAGGCCTGGGCGAAGACGGGTTGGTTGAAGAACCAGAGAGGTTTAGAATGAAATGGGAATGGGGGCCAGAACTGGTGAATTCAAGCCACCCTGGGAAGGAGCCAGGTTGATGTCTCCCTGCATAGACATGACCCTGAAATTATCCTGAAAGAGGCAGGCCTGCATTATCTTGCTTTCCAGGGCCTGAGCCTGCAGCAAATTTCCAAGTTTGTGAGGAGCAGAACCACTTGGGGTCCTGGTTAGGCGTGGGAATCTGTGACGTCAAGTGGCAGGTGTCTAGGGACCAGACTTTGGAAGCGTTGCAGAGAGGCAAGAAGCCAGGCTCAGATGCTGTCACCAGTTGTCTATTGCTGTGTACGAGCCACAACAAAATTTAGTGGCTTGAAACAGTAATGCATTGGGCTCCTTGGCTGGTCTCCCTGAGACCCTTGATCTCAGGGTCGTGAGTTCAAGCGCCATGTTGGGTGTGGAACCTACTCAAACCGCCCCCCACACACACACACACGCACACACACACCAGAAAAACCCAGCAGTTTATTACTTCCCAGGATCTACAGGTTGACCTGGAATGTTCTTCGGCTGGTGTCCCCTGGCTTTGCTCATGCAACTGTAGTCAGCCAGCCCTTGGCCCAGCCAGTGGTCCGGGATGGCCTCTTCTCCACGTCCGGGACCTCGGCCAGCACGCCTGGCATTGCTGGGCATCTCTCTGCACATGGTTTAGTATCCGGGGCTCCTTTACAGCACGGCAGCCCCGGGCTTCCCGGAGGGCCAGAACAGAAGCTCTACGGCCTTTTAAGAACTTGCCTGAAGATTGCTCTCCATCTTTTCGGCCACATTCCCTTGGTCAAAGCAAGACACGGGACCAGCCCACATTCGGGGTAGTAGATTCTGCTGCTTGCTGTAGCCGGTCTTCAGTCCATCCCGGTTTTACGCTGGAAATATGCAACCAGATTTATAATTTTTTCTATTTATAAGCCATTTACGCCCTGACTTCCCAGAACTCCTTCAAATGAAAGTGCCAATAAACAAATCAGCTGAAGCAACCAAAACAAAACAAAACAAAACAAAACAAAAAGCATTTATTGGCTCATCTTCTTGAAAACTTAAAAGCCTACTAGTTTCAGGCATGGCTAGATGTACGGGAGCTTAAGTAAGATCACCAGAACATTCCCTACTACCGATCCCTCCCTTCTGTTTCCCTCGGAGTTTGGCTCTCTAACGGCACGCTGGCTTCATGTGTTGGAAAAGACCAACTCAGGCAAACAAGCCTCTAAGTTTAAAGCTCGTGATCCAAAAGGAGGCAAGATGCTCTCCCTCGGTAACAGAGGCGCCAAGTCCCTGAAAAAGCCCTGATTGGCCTGCTTGGGTCACGTGCACATGGGAGGCGGGACAGGAAGGAGCAGGGCACATGATTGACGGCCCTACCAAGACCACAGGGAAGGGGGCGTGTTTTCGCAAGGAAGGGGCGGGGAGGGGGGTCTTGTTCCCAAAGAAAGGCAGAGGCCGCAGAGACACCACACCCTGCAGGCTTCTTGGTGCTCCAGAGCCCAGCACAGGGTCTGGCGCGTAGTAGCTGCTCACTAAATGTTTGTTGCATAAACGATAAGCGCCCGGCTGACCTTAATTGGGTGGAACAGACGCGGCTGCCCAGGTGTTTCATGCCACCCCTTGAAACTTTGCCCCAGGCATTTGCAGGGATTCAGAGAAAGGCCCTTGGCAGCAACTGGCAATGCCAGAGAGGCTTCCTCAAGTCGGAAACCCTGTCCTTCCTTGGGCCAGGGAGCTGGCAGGGCGTGAGGCTGACTGGGTAGCTAGCTCCCCAGGAAATGAGCTGGCCTACAAAAAAGCCGTTACCCCTCTTCCGACCGATGGAAAATCGCGGGAAGAGCAGGGACTATTGAAAAGCAGAAATTCTGCAGCTCCATTTGCAAATACACCCGAGGACTTGTTTTTCAGATTTTCTGACGCTGTCTTGATGACTTCTGGTGAGAAGTTTGGGGCTTATTTTCTTTTCCTTTGGGGGAAAAGCCTAACACATTCTTTGGCTGCAGAGTCTTCTCTTTCGGAGACGTGGAGAACTGGGGCAATTACACCTGGGGGTAAAGTCAGCTGGCAGTTGTTTCCCCCCACCCCCCCACCCCACGTTTGCACGAGCCCACACAGGTAAATCACCGCTCCTGTCTCCTTTACTTTACAGGCTCGGTTACCTGGAGTACATTTTTCCACGAATAACGCAAAGAGGCAGGATGTACCAGAAGGGAGGAGAGGAGAAAGAAATGTTTCAGGACGTATTCAATTTTTTAAGTGAAAAAACAGCCCTCATTATAGGCAGCGTGTGGTCAAATAGAATGTCATTTTCCTAACGACCTTTCCTAGGTCCCCACCGTGCTAGGCTGAATATTGTAAACAAAAATATTAGACCTAAACTCCCTAGCAACAAAAGCTCCCATGTGGGGTGCTGGTTCTCAACACAAAAGTATAATTGTATGAGAAAGGAAATTTTCAGTGCCTGTGAGGTATAAACATCTATTACAGGAGTGTGTATACAGGTGTATCATTTTCACCAAACTCTTGTCTCTGTGAGGTTTTCCACGTTATGAGGATGACTTTGAAAGTCTGCTTTCTCCCTCCCCGCCTGTCCTCACCTTCCCAAAAGAATTACGCCGCGTTTTTCCTACATTTTTTTTTTTTTTTAAATGGGCTCAGCCTTGCACCCGGACCCACACCTAGTAAACTCCCCATCTGGCCTCCACCCAGGATGAAATCATTCTGCTGCTGGGGAAAGAAATCGGCCGTCTCTCGGATTTTGAACTTGAATCCAAATACAAAGACGTCGTGATAGCGAACCTGCAGAACCAAGTGGCCAACCTGAGTCAGAGGCTGTCGGAGAAAACCTCCTCCAGGCAGAAGGAGAGGGGCACCTCACAGAACTTCCAGGTTTTGGATGAAGACATCGATGCCAAACAGAGAGAGATCGAGAGCTTGAAAAGCCAGGTAGGACTCAGTGACAAGTTGGTGAAGGCCTTAGAATCGGGACACAGGGCGACAGCTCCTGGGTAGAGCCGGGGAGCACGAGGGGAGCCACGCGGATAGACACGAAAGGGGTAGTCCCCGTAGCGTGGTGGCTATGAGCACAAATCCCAGGAATCGGGGGCCCGGCGCACACAGCCCAGTAGAACCGTGCTAACTTTGTTAAGCGCCTGTAGCGTGCAGGCACCCGGCACAAGTGCCGTAGGTCCGTTGGCTTATTTAAATCGCACCGTCTCTGACATGTACCATTCTACAGAGGAGGAGACTGAGGCCGGCTCAGAGACCACGGGGAGCTTGTTCCGTTTGCCCAGTTAAGTTAGGAGCAGCGGGTGTGTGCCGAATGCAGGTCCGCCCCTTCGGAGACCTCACACTTTCACTGAGCTTCCTGTTTCTACCCAGATCTTTTGCTTCAGTGACTGGCCCTCACATCCACCCAGCCCCAGCCAGAGAGCTGTGCGCAGTCAGCTAGAGAGGAGGAGGAGGAGGAGGAGGAGGAGGAGGAGGAGGAGGAGGAGGAATCCCCAGTCTTCCAAACACCGAAGCCTTCGCCCAACCCCGAAGGCACTTGCTGGCTCACTTGCAGGCAATGCCATCAGACAAAAATTCTCCACCTGGAATTTCCGCACTGTCCAGGATAGTCACATTCTCTTCTCTTGAGACAAGCTAGATTCCCCCCGGGCCGCCCCCCCCAGATTTCTTCAAGTACTTTAAAATTGGCCATTGACCTGGTACATAAATTATGTGTCAACAAAGTTGGTTTAAATTAAAAAAAAAATTGGCCGCCGATGAATTGTGGTCTCAGTGCATAATGTTGCCTAGAACTAGTCATGCCTGGGGCCTCTTTTCTCTGCTTGCCTGTTCACGGCCTTTCCCTCTGTGACCAATTCAAGGTGCGTGGCCTCAATCCTAGAAACGGTGCCCTAGAAAAGGACTGAGGTCGTGCATGGTGAACCTAGGAGATCCTACCAGGAGACTATAAGCTCCATGAGGGCAGAGAGTGGACCCGGTTACCTTCTAGGGCTCTGTTAGGACCCCGTCTGTTCATTCATTCACTCATTCCATCAATCATCCACCCGTCCATTCAGTCACATAAGATTTGTCGGGTGACTGCCTTGTGCCCTGCCCTCTTCTGGGCTCTGGGAATTTGGCAGAGAACGAGGCAGGTATGACCTTTGCCTTCCCTTGGTTGTGTTCCCAAGAGGGATCCTAAATAAATGCATACATACATAAATACATAAATAAATAAATCTATTTAAATTTATTTAAGTGAACAAATGACTCCTCAGACGTGTTTTAGGAAAACCAACAAAAGCAGCAGATTCTATAGGATTTCCTACTTGACGGCCGCCTTCACGGGTAGCCGACTCCTGAATGAGCATCTTTTCTTTGCTTAATCTAAACCCAATTTTGCTGTCGGACAGAGTAATTTGCCTTTCAGTTATTCTCCCATTTCAGAGATTTCCTGAGTGCAGGTGGCATGTCTTGCCCAGATCCGTGGACAAGGGGTGAATTAATTCTCATACAATTTTTTCTTTTTTAGTCAAATATATTTGACAGATAACATCACGTAATCCTCTCGTATCTCTGAGTGTGTTCAAAGTGGCTAGTGAGATCTGGAAACAAGTTTCTCACGAAGAAAGCGTCTAGAAAGAATTACACCAACCCATCGTTCTGTTGCCTCCCCGCCCCCCACCCCTTGATCTTTACTGGTAACCGAAAGAGAATATTTTGTAACAAGGCGTATCTGAACTGGAGCCTTCGGTGGGTTTGAACCCGCATCAAGTTCTGTCGGTTCACGTTGTAGTTTCTTAAATGTTCTACCACCTGCAGAACATTCAGCCAGAAGTATAAGCTGCATGGGCAGGTCGGTTTATTGTTCGGATTTCTAGGTGCTCCCTGGTCCCCCCAAAAGTGGGTGCATCATGACCTGCTCTGAAAGGTCTCCCATCCACTGCTGTATCACTAGAAAGTACTTGCCTCTGCGTGCCCTTGAACGCCTGTGCTCATTAGCAGGCAAATTACTCTCTCGAAGCTATCCTCCTAACACTATTAGCTTTCTTATGACTCACTGCCCATCTTATTACACAGGAGAGCAGACATGAAACTTCTTGGGCTGTGTGCCCGTTACAGACAATATGGGTACTCATTTCGGTAGGGAAAGAAACAAAGACGTTTGGAGCCTGGAGTTTTCTCGAAATCTGAACTCCGAAAAACTCTGGTGCGTAGTTTGAATTCCATTATATCTGTCGGAAGCAGAAGCACTGGCATCTTTGGGCAGGAGGGCATGTGGTTTCCCCATCCCTTCTGGAAGTTTGTCTCTTTGTGCTGTGCCTCTGGTGTCACGCAAATAAAAGCATGGAAAAACACTCTTAAAAATTATTCCAGGGGCGCCTAGGTGGCGCAGTCGGTTAAGCGTCCGACTTCAGCCAGGTCACGATCTCGCG